TCGAGGAGGAAGGCAGGAATTGGAGGTATAGATTTTGGAATGTCATCTACAGAAAGGACGAAATTGGAACTCAGAATAGTTAGCTATCTGGAGGACAGAGGCAAGGAAGAGAAGAGGCCAGAGCTAGCGGCCCTGCTTACAACGGGGTGCGGAAGAAGGAGGAGGAGGATCCAGAACAGAGACAGAGGAGGGGTCAGAATGGAGGGGGAAAACCAGGCCCATGTGGCAGCATCATGTTCACAGGATAAGAGCTGCAGGAAAACAGAGAGGTCAATAGTACCAGGTTCACTCATTAACAAAGTATTCGTTATTCATGATGAATAAGTATTCGTGAGTACTTGTGCTCAGCACAGCAGAGAGTATAGAAATATGGAGGCCACAGTTTCTGCTGACAGGACATCCAGAGAGGTCAAGGAAAATACGGCTGGAACAGAAACACGGGACTAGATCCTAGACTCACTGCGTGGCTCAGTTCAGAAGCCCCTTCTCCTAGGATTTCAGCCCTTCCTCCTATTCTCCAAGCCTTTTTAGCATTACTGTCAATTCCACACCATAGCCCAGTTAGCACCTACAGGTTAAAATCCCAAATTGTTAATTTGTCTGCTAACTTTTCCCGCACATATGCTGACCCTCCTAATCGACTTGTAAGACAGTTTAGATCAGGGCCTGCCAGCATTCTTCATTTCTCTCATTTGTTGTTGTTACTTACAGTCGCATCAGCTCCAATTCCTGGCGACCCCACGTACAACAGAAGGAAACCTTGCACGGTCCTGCGCCATCCTCACGATCGTTGGTATGCACGAGCCCGTTATTGCAGCCACTGCGTATTTTGAATGCCTTATAATTTAGGCGGCTCATCTTCCAACACTATATTAGACAATATTCGGCTGTGATCCATAGTTTTCATTAACTAAATTTTGGAAGGAGATTTCCAGGCCTTTCTTCCTAGTCTGCCTTGGTCTGGAAGCTCTGCTGAAACCTGTCTACTGGGAGTGACCCTGTGGTATTTGAAATACTGGAGGGTAGCTTCCAGCAACATAGCAACACGCAGGGCACCACAGCACGACCCACTGACAGACTTGTGGTGGATTTTCTCTCAGAGCACCTATCAAAGTGCCTCAGATAAAGCTGTTGTGCACCGTCGAGTCAATTCTGACTCATAGCAACCCTATGTGACAGAGTAGAACTGCCCCATAGGGTTTCCAAGGCTGTAATCAAACACAGTAGACCTTAATAAATCAATCAAAAGAATTTGTAAATATAGAAATGTTTTATATATAGTAAATATTCACTAATTGACTACATATATGTATGTGTATATATGTACATATATGTGTGTGTGTAGCTGTAGCATAAAGAAACCACGAGAAAGAGAGACACCAAATTTCCAGCTACTGTGCAAGTGATCCAGAGCAGATTCAACTGTGTTAGCAATGTGTTTTGGTTTGGTTTGGTTTGGTTAACTGCGTGATGGCTCCATGATTACTTGTTATACTATTCTTAGACCTCTTTATACTCTTCAATATTGCAAAATAATACTTCATTCATTGATAGATAGCTGGCATTTAGATGGGCTTATCAACATACACACTCAGGCATGGAGAATTCTGCTGACGTGAGGGAAAAAAACTTAAAATATGTGTCTCAGACAGAAGAGGTTTAGTTAGGACTTCAGTGCATAACTCAATGACTCTTTCAATTAATATTTTATCTGGCAGGAAATATTTATGAGACACTATCAGCCCCGTAAACGCAAAATGGTTTCTATATACAGTGAGAAAATAATTTCCTGTGAGTGTCATATTCTACAGAGAAAACCTTAATTGTGAATGCAGTTCCCGTTTGATGGAGGAAGGTAGGAGAACAGATAAAGGAGGACAGGCGAGGTGGGTCTGGGCTCTAATTAACAGTGGTAACACACATAAATTCTCGGTTGCTTTCAAGCATCACCTCATCAATTTTCAGTCCATGAGAGAAGCACTTAGCACCTTCCAAAACTCCCTGAATAGTTCTTCAATTGCGTCTCCTATTCTCACCTATTATTGGCTGTCTTTTAGGAGAGGACATAGAAAAGTCAAGGCTTGCCTGAGTTCACAGCAACCGGGCAGCACTCTGTTGTTAGCTGCCCTCAAGTCGGTTGTGACTCATGACGACCTTTTGGATAACAGAAGGAAAGCTTGCCCGATCCTGTGCCATCCTCATGATCTTTGGTATGTCTGAGCCCATTCATGTGGCTCTGGGGTCAATCCATCTCATTGAGGGTCTCCCTCATTTTCACTGACCCTCTCTACCAAACATGATATCCTTTTCTATCGATTGATCCCTCCTGATGATGTGTCCAAAATAAGTGAGCCAAAGTCTCGCCATCCTTGCTTCTAAGGAGCATGCTGGTTGTATTTCTTCTAAGACTAATCTATTCATTCTTCTGGCAGTTCCTGGTCTATTTAATATTTTTTGCCAACACCACAGTTTGAATTCATCAATTCTTCTTCTGTCTTCCTTTTTCACTATTCAACTTTCACATGCATATGAGGTGATTGAAAAGAAATTGAAAAAAATCCAGACTAGAATCCAAATATTTCTCATTTTTCAGTTCTAGGCTGAGAACTGGATCTAGGTTTTCCATCTCCTGCTCCAAGGCCCCATTACTGACAGCAGCTTGCAAACCAATGTTTCCCCAGCCACCCTATGTTTTGCTTTAAAGTCAGCTAGGCTTCTCTCGTCAGGGCAGAAGGAATACTGTGGTCTTTATAATTAATCCAAAGCCAACTGGTACTCCCAATAGAAAGCCCTGTTAAGGCTCAGTAAATGCTCACAGTATGTGTCATCTGGACTTTAGAGAGCTACACAGCTGAAGCCTCACCCGAAACCAAGGAAATTAAATTAAGAAATTTCCTCTCAGAGGGTTAAACCACAGAATCAACATACAATGGATGAGCAGGAAGACAGGCTAAGTCCTCTTAAGACCACAGAGTGACTTCCTGGCTAGCTAAGGCCAAGGTCCCTAGGTTAGAAGCCACTCAGCAGCACTTCAGAAGAAAGGCCTGGCAATCTGTTTCCTTTAAGATTACAGCCAAAAAAACCCTATGGAGTGCCATGAGTCAGAATTGACTCGACAGCGATAGATTTGGTTTGGTTTGGTTTAGCTCTGGCCAATTTCAACCACATTGAATGACCAACCCCTCTACAGAGGGAGAAAAGTAAGAAATATAGGGCCCAGGAGGCAAACCCTGGCGGGGTCCCTCTAAGCCCACCCCTGGGAAAGGTGCCTTGGCCGTGAACCGTGCCCACACTGGTCTCCTTGGTAAGGGGAATGTGCTGGCCACCATTTTGAGACTAAGCTTCTATGAAGCTCTGCTTACCGGAGAGAGAAGACTTGCAGTGTTCCAGTCTCAGTGACAAGCACTTTCCTCACTGTAATTTAATAAACCGGTCTTCTGATTGTATGCCTCATTCACCTGGTAAATATTCATTGAGCACCTGTGCCAGGTGCTGGGGCTACAGCCAAGATCAAGACAGTCACAGACCCCACCCTAATGGCGCCTACAGTCTGGGGAACACTGTTCTCATGCTTGCTTGGCGTGTAGGCTGGGTAACAGACAGAGAGGGGCCAGAGGTAACACCACCAGGTACAGAGTTCCACCCTGCATGGACCAGTCGTGGTAACTGCCCACCCTCCCCAGACAGCAGCCTTGGCTTTGCCTGGAGTGTGATGTCTGCAGCTGCTTCCCCTACAACTCCATGAATTAAAGAATAAATTCATGTAATTATCTTAGGCCTATCTTCAGCCAGAAGGAATCCAAAAGGGCGGGCAGGGAGATGGTGAGGTGGAAGGTGGGCTGTGCACTCACCTCAGCTCTGCCCCTGAGTGTTCAGGTTACTGCTGTGACTGGAGGGGCTTTTCCCCAAATGCTACCTCTCTGTGTGCCACTGATCACTGACAGGAGAGAACCCAAGGGCGAGGAAGGAACCCTGGGGAGCAGCAAGCCTGTTTCCGGTCTCTGGACTCTCTCCTCTCCAGACCCTCACCCCACTGACAAAAGCAGGGTGGGTGGGATGTGAGAGCCTGGGCTTGGGCTCCCTGAACTTTCGGAGGAATGCTTCCACCTGCTTGACTCCATCTAATGATCAAATGAAATGCAATACAATTTTGCCAGCTGCTGATTCCTGCAAGGCAGAGTGACTGAGCAGCCCCTCCAAGCCCCCACGCAAGATTCCTGCCCTAACAGGTTCTTCCGTCTTTCTGTGTGCTCCACCCCACCCACAAAACACCTGCACACTCACGCGCACACTCACACACACGCACACAGGCACATGTGTACGGCCACATGCACTCACACACGTGCACACACGCACACTCACACACACCTGCACACGCACAAGTGCACACCCCCACGGGCACTCACACACACAGGCACACACATACACACGTTCACTCACACACACACGCACACGCGTACGCCCAGGCGCACTCCCACACACACATCCACACCGCGCTCGCGCGCGCGCTCAGGTCTCCATGCTTTGTATCCACACGACCAGCTGCACCCTCACCCCGCCCGGGTGCCAGCAAGGAGGGGCGCGCCTGGGTGGGGAGGAGGGGGACCGGGCAACAGGGAAGGCAAGGAGTGCGTACGGGAGACCCGCTTCGCTTTTCCCCCCAGGGAGCTCGCCCCTCGGGTCCTCTCCCCACCTTCCTCCTCCGACTCATTCACAAGTGCCGGCGTCCTGGGTCACGTGGGGCCCGGCTCGGCCCAGCCGCCGCCCCCACACACACACCCTGCCTTTGCCTGTGGCCCTTTAAATAGCGTAGTCACCGGAGATTCACCCGTACCCGGGAGAAGGGGAGGGAACGCGCGGAGAGGAGAGCGGGCGGGAGGAAGGGAGGAGCGGGGAGACACTTTCCCGTCTGCTCGCGCAGGGGGAGTGACTGCAGGGACTGGAGCGAGAAGGGGCAGGATGGCCTTGGAGCTCCCGCCCACAGATCCCCAGGACAGGGAGAGGCTCTAGGCAGAATCTAGTTGGTGATGGTCGGGGCTGGCGAGTGCCCCCCGAGGCCCTGACCGCCCTGCGCCACCGCCTCTGACCGACACCCAGAAGTTCGCCTTCGCGGGACTCGGCAAGCGCCTATTGCAACAAGTAAGTTGTCTGCTTTTCCTTCCCCATGTCTCTGCCAGCTCGCTGATGGCTTTCTGGGGGTGCCATCGCCCCGGCAGAAGGCTTCCACTGGGAACCTGCCCGTTTAGGGGCCGGCGGGGACGCCAAGGGCCCCGGGCGGGGGCCATAGTTCAGCCAGGAAGCAGAGACCTCCCAGGCGTGGGAGTTAAGCCTTCGGAGCGCTGTGAACATCTCTGCTTATGGCACTGGGGCAGAGGCCCCTGGGAGTGTGAAAAGGCCCCCTGCGTGGTTCACTAGCCCTGTGGTCTGAGGGGGCGCAGGCCAGGCAGCCGGCCAGAGTGGCACAGTCCCTCATGGGGACCAGAGCAGCCGTGGGGGCCGTGAGCTCCGCCACCTTCAGATCCTCAGCTTAATCTCACTTGCTCTTTTAAGTCTGGCCAGACTGGAAATATGGCCTTGCTATTTCTGCCCTCCTTGTCCATGCATCACTTCCTGCATGCCCCCTATCTCTTCTTGGACATCCTTCAAACTGTGGAGAAAGGCCAGGGGTCATGCTCCAAGGGCAGGCCGTGGGGAAGGGCTGGACAAGCTTTACTCCTGGTCTCCCCAAACCCACGTGCCTCCGGGTTCTGACCTGCTGCCCTCTCCTGGGGCTCTTCTGCCCGGGTCTGTGGAGCAGCCTGGGGTCTGGGCTGACTGCTTGGACCAGGTCTGATGTCCCAGCACCAGGCTGGGTAAGGCCAGTCCCACCGCTTCTTTAAATACCAGAGGAAGAAGCCCAAGGGGAACATGAAAGTCTGCATTGTGTCAGACTGCGTCCTTCACACTCTCTTCTAATCCATATAATGAAGCAGATGTTATTATCCTCATTCTACAGGTGAGAAAATGGAATCTTTTTTTTAGCTATGAAGTATTTATTGTGCATTAAAATTACACGACTTTTTTCCCAAAGGCACAGGGCCATGAGAATTGTAGAAAATTTGCCACACGTGGTAGGTTGGTCTAAGAGGATTCCACACCTTTGTTTTTGCTGCTCAGTGTATAATAACTAGAGACTTGCAAATCTTTGGGAGCCCTGGTAGCACAGTGGTTAAAAGTGCTCGACTGCTAACCGTCAGCAGTTTGAAACCACCAGTGGCTCCGTGGGAGAAAGATGCAGCAGTAAAGTCCGCTTCTGTAAAGATTTACAGCCTTAGAAACCCTGTGGGGTCGCTATGAGTCGGAATTGACTAGACAGCAGTGGGTTTGGGTTGGGTTTTGTAAATCTTTGTGAACATTCTGTACTGGTTAGAAAATGGAATGTTAGAGAAGCTATGTAACTTGCCTGAGGTACACAGCTTATAAATGAGATTCTCATCCATGTCTGACTCCAGAATGTACGTTTTTAATGAGTAAGCTAGACTTCATAGGGCTTTTTGGTTCACAAAGCATTTTTCCTCCGGGAAAGACACAGTGCAAAGAAGCTAATATTTGTGAACCTGGATTCACTAACATGAGTGAATCCTGACCCCTGTCCTGTGAAGTAGCTAATCTTGTTTCACCCACTTAACTGATGAGACCAAATCTTAGAGAAACCTGAGTGCCGATAAATGGCCGAAAGACTGTCTTCCAAACCCATGGCTTTTGACTCCAGTCCAGGCATCTTTCCGCTCCCCAACACGAACCTGGAAAGGTATTGTGGCCGCCCCAGACCCATGCCTTTCCCTCAAATCTCAGGGTAAATGGTATCAGCTGGTGTGAACCAGGCTCATGCTTCCTAAAACCTGGCAGACACCAGGCAGGGTGACCATGTATGTGAGCTAGAGAGAAAAGGCCCGTTGTTGGGCCCGGTTGAGAAAACCTCGGTTGGCCTGACTGGGGTTTTACATTGTTGCATCACCCTTCAAGGACATCCTTCTACTTGCAGGTACAATGTATGAATTTCAGGGGGAGTATGGGAGTGTAGGGTGTGCTTCTTGGGAGGACAGCATCAGGCCACTCTTGAAAGAGAGGAAGCATCACATGAGAAGCTTGTCTGGAGCCTCCACAAAAGCAGGGTGCTCTTGACCTCCCCTGGAATGGTGTTCTAGACTCACTGCCTAGCTCTCCAGCAGCAAGGGGACCACGCACACAGGGCCTTCCTGTCCTCTCCAGAAGTGCTCACAGGCAGCGTTTCCTGTGGAAGCATTAAACAGAAAATGCGCGCGCTCCATCCAGCAGCAGCTGGCAGGAGGAGGAGACAGGTATGAAATGTGGGCACAGGGGAGAAGGGCCCAGAGCTGTCGGGAGAGCTCACTGTCTTCTCCTGGCAGGGTCCCTGGGGGCTATGAAGGCTGTCTCAGCGGGACTCCCCAGCCTGCCAGCACATCCTGAGGGGCGGAGCTCTCCCCTCAGTGGGTCCTGGATCCGGCAGCACATCAGCGAGGCTCCCAGACGCTCCAAGGCTTCACTGCCCCAGTGCCTGCTGCAGGCTGCACAGCAACAGCCCTCTGGGGCGTTCCGCCAGCGCCAGACTGAGTTTCTGGCCCAGGATTTCAGGGGGCTCCTCAGGCTGCTCTAGCCATCTGTGATGAAGTGAACCCCAACAGAGAGGAAACCACCAGAATACCCATTCTCCTTGTAGCGGCCTGATCCTTCATGCCTTCCATGGGCGAAACCACAAATGGGTGTACTTCTGGTTTTCATTTTTAAATCAGTTCAACAACCATTTATTCGGTCACTTCGTATATGCCAGGAATAACTGATTTTTTAACACCTTGGAATGTGATCGTTTGGGCAGGGTTAGCTTTCTATTTAGGCGAATGTTAGCAAAAGCTTGCATTTGGTGAGCTAAGACTGATTGAATATTTAGGCTGGTGGCGGGGGTAGTGGGGGCAATGGAGAGAAAGGAAGCGGCCCGGGAATCCGTGAAGTAGCTCAAGGGAGCCATGTTTGGATTAATATGTCACTGTGCATGAGCTACACACAGGTCCTTGAGAGGTGGCACTATTTCTAAGGAAGGGCCAGTGGTTGCATGACTACTAAGACAGTCATTGGCCAGGCAGGAATTTTTCTCTTTTTCCTAAAGAGGGGACAAGGAGAATGGCGGTTCCACATAATGGGTTGAACGGAATGCATTTTTAAAGGAGACTGACGAGTGGCTTTGTTTGAAGTTATTTTTAGAAGGAATGGACAGCTTCTGGGATCCTGACGGCAGAGGGATGGACGGACTGTCCTCTCCAGGCCCTGCCAGTGGTACACAGCTTATCTAGTTCCTCCTACCTTGACATTTTGATAAGTGGGCTATTCTCGTCCGCAGTGCCCAGGATAGCAGGGGCCCTTGCCAAGAGCCGTGTTGAGTTAAATGTTAGAGCCAGACCTTTAACACATGACCCTGGAGATGCTGGCTGGTGCTTAGATGTAAAGTTCCATTATGAGTCCAGATCAGAGAAGGCTGGACAGCAAACATCAGGGACGACGGTACTTCCTGTCTACCAGGGGTCAACCCATATGGTGGCCAGAGAGGCTGGGGAGGGGGTAGGGGCGGAGGAGCTAGAGGAGGAAAAGACGGGATGGCCAGTCCAGCTTGCTGAGTTGTCGTCTGTCACTCTCATCTGTGGCTTGCTTGTTTGGGGCTGGGAATGCTGTCCACCCCATGTCTTGCTTCTCCCGCCATCACATTTCAGACTCCCTGCCTTAGAATCAGGCTTCTCCAAAGCCATCATCCAACTTTATTCTTGCTGCTCATAAACGGGGTAGTTGGGACAGAAAACAAAAAAAAAAAAACACCAAACCTGTTGCTGTCGAGTCGATTCCGACTCATAGCAACCCTATAGGACAGAGTAGAACCACCCCATAGGAACGGCTGGTGGATTTGAACTGCCAGCCTTTCGGTTAGCAGCCATAGCTCTTAACCTCTACGCCACCAGGGTTTCCGGTTGGGGCAGAGTAAGAGCCAAATTGACCTCAGATCCTAGGAGTAGTGCAGTCTGGGGTCCAACCTGCGTCTCGTCCTCTGTCCACTCCTGAAAGCTTGAGTGATTGAGCACTTGGAGCTTAGAGCCTGGTGGTGGGAGGGCCAAAAAGGGGAGTGGGAGAAGGTGCTGTCTCTGCTCCAGGAAGCTGTCCATCTAGCATGGCTAACAAAACCCACAGCTGCCCATGTCAGGGGGGCATGTACAATGAAGGCTGCTGTGCCAGCCAACCAGCCTGGCCTGTGTCAGAGCAACCTTGCAGGACAGCAGGCTATGAAGGCCTCCCAGGTCCTGGTGAGGCTGTCTCAGGTACTCTACAAAGGCCCTTTATTGGATGGACTCAAAAAGTCACTCATGTAGTCATTCAAAAATGTTGACTGAGCACCTACTGCAGGCCAGACCTTTGTAGGAACCTGAGATCAGATTCAGTGATTATACACCCTGCCTGCCTGTCCTTGGAATTCTCCCAAACAATTGCCTGGGGAAGACAGACATGCCCGTGAATAAATTACAGCATCGGTGGTAAGTATCAGGACAGAGATGAAGCAAGGGCCTCTGGCGGCAAAGGCAGACTGCTGGGTGACCAGGGAAGGCTTTCAAGCGGACTTGAAGGCTTGCCAGTGCCGGCAAAAATGGCTGGGGAGTGGCTTGCGGAGGTGGGAGAACAGGTTAGACACAGGGCTGTGGAATGGGGGCTGGAAGAAGAAGGTGCCTGCTGAGCCAAGCCCAGGCACTAGGCGTTTACAGTTGGCCCTTCAGCCCTTCGTATCCGCGGGTTCTGCTTCTGCAGATTCAACCAAACTGTGGGTCGAAAACGTCCAGGGGAAAAAGTTCGGAGAAGCAAAACTTCAATTTGCCATTTGCAGGGCACTGCCCTGAATCCACATGAATGGAAGCGTTCCCAGAAGAACTACAGAAACTCAGAGAAAGGCAGCCTTCCAGAGCAAGTCTTCAATTGTGATGAAACAGCTAGTCACAAAGCATTCACATTGTGTTGGAGCCCTGGTGGCGCAGTGGTGAAGAGCTCAGCTGCTCACGGAAAGGTCGGCAGCTCCAATCCACCAGCCGCTCCTTGGAAATCCTATGGGG